CAGCGTGAAACTCACGGTGCCATATCTGAGCCAAGAGTTATACGCACCTGTTGCTCTAACTTTGCTGCTGTCATGGTCATAGCAACAAATTCCAATTGCTCACAAGGCAGCGTCCATTAGCAGCTAGTTGACTGAAGCATGAAGCATTAAGTGTAAAAGACATGAATTCAGTTCATTAATACATCAAAGCAAACCAAAGTACATAAGAGGTGAGTGACATCTATCACAACAGATTGTGATAGTGTCAAAGCAGTCAAACTAAATAAAACTTTATAAGCATCTTTAACACTTTTTTTTTAACATTTAACATTTGCATCAGTATTAGCCACGACATCAATGACTCGACATGAAAAGCAACCAGTTTTTTAACCCAGATTTTTATTTCATTACAGTGTTATATACTTAAGTAGCATTAGCTAGCAGCATTGCTTACTACAGCAGATGAGTCAGCTACCCATTAAGCTACTGTAGCTAACGGTTTGTGGCTATTAAATGAGAGGGTAGCTCATGATCAAACTAAATATAGCCTAATGAGCCGTTGAAGGTGTTAAAATATAGCAGCGTTCTTTGGGGCAAGCAAGGTTGGCAGTGCTTCTTCATTAGTGTGACCATATTTTGATTTCCAAAAAAGAGGACACTTTGCTCAGTCATGAAGAACTTGCTTAAAGAAACATAAAATCGGCTCGGGCATTTTGACTAGAGACCGGCCCACCAGGTATTATAGGAAAAACCATGAAGCCTTTGAATGAAAACAAACGCTGTTGTGACAGTGATGTACAGTCGTGTTAGTATATGTATGATTTCTATACATTTTACATCAGATGAAAACTTTGGTTGTAAGATTCCCTATTAATGCCCTGCCTGCCCCCCTGGCAGCACTTTGCTAGACCCGCCCCTGCACAGTTACCAGCTGTCAGCTACGTAGAAAAGGATCCTGGTGTTATTTGTCTCTCAGCAGTTCATAACTTCCCTTCAACTCATTCATGTCACCTAAAAGGTAAACCTGTTTCTCCATCACCTGTTCAGCTCCGATGATTCAGTAAGGACATCTCCTGGTTTCATCTTCATGTTTCCCTCTCATCACATAACCAAACCAATATCATGACCAGCAGCTTTACAGCTGTGGCTCCAGCAAACATCAGCTGATACTAGAAAGTAATATTTGATAAATTCTAACAACAGCTGATCAAGCTTAAACGTGCTGCTGTTGTTTAGTGCTACATCCACTGGTTTCTTCTTTCTGGCGCAAAGTGGGCGATAAACAAACAAGAGAGCCGATCAGCTGATCATTGATCAGTTTCATGATTGAAGTAGAAACAGGAGAGGGAGGGGGGAGATAAGAGAAGAAGAGGCAGCTGTGCAGTGTAACGACAGAATAACTCCAGTTTTGTGTCTTTTCCATTCTAGCTGAAGTACGGGACAAACTTTGTTTCTTTTCAGCTCAATACGAATGCGTAATATTTTCTCTGAATACGGGACAATTCCGTTTTTTACGGGACGGTTGGCAACTCTACTAATTAACCTTATGAATAAAATGAAGTTCACTATCAGTAACATCAAAGCTTTGGGATCTTTTAAACATCATTAGGCGCGTTGGTGCTGTCTGTCCTGTCTGTGAGCGCAGAACAAGCTCACAAAGCAGCAGCTCGGGGATGAATGACGTCACACACATGAGTCCTCTGTTGGAATATAGGAAAACACGGACATTCTTATCAATCTCAAAAATACCCCCGGACGCCCCTCACAGAACGTAAAAAGAGGACATGTCCGGGGAAAAGAGGACGGTTGGTCACCCTATTCTTCATTATACTAAAAATCAGCAGCAAAACAAATCCCAGAGTTTGTCAAGATGAGAGGTCAACCTTTTTCTGGTTTATTGCGCATACACTTTGTAGTTAAACCTAAAAGGTGATGGGAGACTCGCATGCTAGGCAAGTGTACATTGGCTCTGCTTTCACTATTCTAAGATCAGTCATAAGCCAAGATTTCTTCGGAGCTACTTTTCGCCAACAGACAAGCTTCTATGATTTATCACTGTAACAGATATGTTTTCTCTTACTGACTACTTTGGCCAACATTTGTGATGTAGAGGAGTTAGAGTACAGAAGAACTTTTTTCTGCTTAAAAAAAAAAAAGAAGTTATTCAGGTGTGACACCAGATATGAAAGAAAACCGGTTGGGATATTCAGGAACAAGCCAGGAACCACCAAGGCTCAAATCTGCCATGACCTGGAAGCTGCTGGAACACCAGCACTGTCCACATTGCAGCCAGTTTTACATCGCCATGGACTGTGAGGATGTCGACCAAGAACGAAGCTCCTGCTACAAAACTGACACATTCAAGCTTTACTGAAATGTGTGGCTGCCCACATGAACAAGCCAAATGTCTCCTGGAGAAAAGTTTGATTGTCAGACAAGACAAAGAATGTTTGGCCACAATGACAAAAGGTAAGGTTGCAGGAGTAAAGGTGATTCTTTCAAACCTTAGAACACTGTACTTGGTGTCAAGCATGGTGGTGGTAGCATCATGCTTTCGGGCTGTTTTACTGCCAGTGGTACTGGTACATTACACAAAGTGGATGGAACAATGAAGGAGGAGGACTACCTCCAAATTCTTCAACTGATTCTTCAAGCTGCTTTTTCTGGCTTTTAAACGTCCTCGGCACACTTTTCCTCCTTTAGCTCCACGGCATGTTTTTTTTTTTCTTAGCTCATGTTCCCTTGTTTTCGGTGAAGTGCAGCTCTTCACAGCTGAGAGCCGTCGCAGGCTAAATGTACTTCCTCTTCTGCTCGGCTGTATTCCATATGCTTCATCATTAAAAGTGCGGCTGCTGTAAGGAGTCATGTATAAATGTTGAATCGCAGCGGCGTGCGGTGGCACTCCAGAGACGACAGATGTTAGTGCAGAGACAATTAATTAACAAGCGAAGGAAACCCAGGGGGGACGGCGGGGACAGTTTGGACGTCATGGTCACGGAGATCTGGTTCTGATCCTGTTCTGATCGAGTGGATCCGCCTGCAGTATTTTTTCTAACTTCCAACGCCACCACAACACAGACCAGATAATTTTAGATTTCAGAATTTATCAGTTAAGGGTGAAAAATAACAATATAACCTCAGACATGTGACATGGGTGTTTTGTTAGCAAATGAAAACTTAAACAAAAGAAACTTTGGTTGGATAATAAGACTTTCCACATTTTCAAATGCAATTAAATGATTAAACAGTTATAGATTTTATCTTAATAATAAATTATAATAAATAAAATAAGATATCCCTTAATGGGAACCTTAAAGTGAACTCATCATGCTCATTTCAAACTCTAATCTCTAAATAAAACTCAGCTGAACTGAGTGTCTTGATACCTGTGCTCTGTTAGAGTAGCTCTGCGTTGCCCTTTATATTTAATTATTTCTTTTACTTTCTTTTACTTCTCTGCAAAGTTTCATGACATTCAGACTGCAGACAGGTCAAGGACCCTGAAAACACTTCTGAGGAACAACTCCAATAAAGCTCACTTAAAGTTTCAACATTTGCTCCCTGAATGTTCAGTGACCTCCATCACCTCCCATCCACCTCCCGTCCTCCACCATCGGACAGATGCGAGCGCTCCTGCAGTGCCGAATGCACGCTGAGCTGAGCGGAGTGTCGCTGATGGCGAGGCACATAATCGGCGTCCTGCATTACATCATAAGTAACCACAGCTGCAGGAAGTTTCAGGTCCTGACAGGAGAGGAGCCATTTATCGGAGACCACCACAGACCATGTGGACTGGATGAAGAAGGTGGCCCCACTGCTGCTCAGCATCACCTATTATTTTAACATCATGTAGCTGCGCACACACACAGACACACAGTTTGTCAGGGCTCATGTTTCTGCAAAGGAAACCACATTTCCCATCAGCCCTTTTGTTCATTACCTGGTGCTTACTGTGAGTGTTTTTACCATGATTTTGATACTTTTTGTGTCATCAACATGAACAGTCACCATGTGTCACGACACATCAGCAACAGCAGACTGAGCACAGAACCATGTGCTGTATTATTAATGTTTATGTTTATTACACTCACTCAGGTGCCACACACAGACTGTATGTAATAGATGGACCTGATGAGGTCATAAGCGTGGGGTAGGCAGGATGTGGCCAAATGTGACATCTGGCCAGGTTTACCTGTGGCTGAGATGAAGCAGCCAGACTTACCACAAGTCAACACCCTAAGAAGGCCAAATTTAGCCCAAAATGCAGGTGTGCGTGACATCAGGGCTAAACCCTTTAACCAATAAGATATATGTGTGCTTGTTTCTGTTCGTACCTGATAGTTAACTGATGATTAACTCATCATCCTATACATGGAATCCTGAGTGATGTTTAAGTCGTGTGATTACAGTTGAGTTTCTTGAGTAACACCTTATTTGGTGTGGATTTCTGTGCATAGGTTAGGTGGAGAGATTATAATTGTACCTGCTCTTCTCATTGTTTTTAATCTAGTCCAGCTGAAACTGCAGACAGAATGCACTTCCACAGACTTTCTTCTGATAGGCTGGCTTACACAACTAGGAGGTTTGTCCAGTAGGTGGGTGGGGCTTCTGTGCCTGAGAGGATTTATGAGCTGTGTCCACACTTGAAATTACATAGTGACCATAATAGCCACTGGAAGTGAGCGGAACTTTTCTCAACATCTAGGCGAGTGATTGGAACGACTACCAACAAGAGTGACAAATAACATTGACTGACTTTGTAGCAAATACATTAAAATAGGCAACCAAATCTTGGAATATCTGCAAGTGACTAGTCATCAGCTTCAAACTGAAGTGTGTACCTGTAACTTTGTTAACTGAAAATGTGAATTATGTTGCAGTTTATTGTATTCAGTGTTTTTTTTTTCTTATTTCCATTGCCTAACAGATATCTCACCAATATCACCAAACAACTGACTTTTACCTCAACACAGACTCCAACACAAACTCCAAAAGGACAAAAACGATAAGCAGTCCGTTTATAGGACTTTGGCTTAGCTGCTAGCAAGCAAGCTAAAGTTAGCCAGCTAGCGCTATGGTGATTATCAAGCAATTTGTCTGCGTTAGCAGGTAAGCTAACGTAAGATAATATTAGCCAGAAAAAGAACAGTATTATCTCATGAAGCCTGAAGTTGTGAATGGATAACACTGAATAATTTATTCTAATTCCTGGGCTTTATCTTGTAATGTTGCTAGCTGTTCAAATTACTTGGTCAGCTAACATTAAAAGCTATCACCAGATTGATGCAGCTAGCTGGCTAAATAACGTTAGGGCTACAAAACTGTATCTTAGTCAAAATGCTTGTTAGCTGACTACTCAGATTATTTCCATGACACTAGCTTCATTAATATTGACTTTATCCATCAGTAAATCATGTGGCACAAAGCAAAGAAGTCTAACTAACATTTACTTTTGGCAATTTATGGTAAATGGCCTGCATTTGTATAGCGCTTTACTCAGTCCCTAAGGACCCCAAAGCGCTTTACACTACATTCAGTCATTCACCCATTCACACACACATTCACACACTGGCAATGGCAAGCTACGTTGTAGCCACAGCTGCCCTGGGGCGCACTGATGATTCCCTTTTTATGTGCAACTTAAAATGTGCACGAAGAGGCTCTTTATTCATTGATCAGGTGGGGAAACTTTTGGGTCAGCTGCAGGAAGTGTCATCAGGATTTTTACTGTCCCAAAGAAGCTTTTACAAATCAAAAAATCCTAATAGTTGTGATGAACTAGTGCAGATGTGTACAAAGGTTGTGTCTTTTTCGCTGTAGTGAAGCTGAGGATCGTCTGCAGCCCACATGCTGCCACCTTCAATGTAACTTGTCACTCCGAATTATCCTTCACCTCTGTGACACGCCGCAGGTTAACAGTCCAACCGTAAAGTGGCGGTGCTAATGCTCAGCAGCTGGCTGCTTTTCTGTGGTTAAATCAGAGTTTACAAGCTGGTAAGTTGAGCTAAGACAAGTGATTAATAAAGACACTGAAACAGAGTAAGAAATCAGTGTGTTTGCAGGCCCCTTGGATCTTTTTCCCAACCCAGAAATAAACATATCACATTTAATCTGTTACAAAAGTACAAATCTGCATTGTGACGCACAAACGAGCTGCTTCATTTGAGATTAAATGCAGCAAAATGAAATAAAGACTACATTTAAGCAGTTGTGTTTCCTCCACAGCCAGCTGGTGTCCGTACGGAGGCTTCGACAGCACGGAGAGGATGTGAGAAACGTGGGAAGCAGAGGGAGATCTCCCGGGAGTGACAAAACAACTCCCTAACAAAGGAGATATTAACCCGAGGAGGAATCCCAATCCAGGCCGTTTGAAGCTGACAGTTAATGAGAGTCTGCAAAAATCTGTTTACAGCTCAAACTGCAGCCTGGAATTAAATATTGGACTCTGTATGTGTTTCAGTTTAACTTGACATCTTTCTTTCTTTTTTAACTGAAATGATCTAAAGTTGAAGTAAAAAAAGAAAAAACAAAGATGCTGAAAATGGGATCTGATAGTGGTGATTTAAATTTGTTCCATAGTCAGTAGTTTTGGACAGATTATCGTGACCTTGGGGGCTGGACATAAATTTGTCATGGGAGAAAAAAAAAAGAAGGGATAGCAGATGAGGAGAAGAAAGAAAGGAGAGGATGGGAAATAAGAAATAGGAAAATTCCAGGGGAAAGAAAATCAGGGAAGATGGAATGAAGGAAAAAGAAAGTTAGGAAAGAAACACAAAATTGGAAATGATTAAAGGTTGAAGAAAAGAAGAATACAAAGGCAGGAATTTTGTCCCGTTATAAATGATAGTAGGCATAGTTGTCTTATGGATGAATTTGAAGCAGTTTTATCTGAAACGGTTCAGATGTTTAATCTATTGCTTTCTGAGCATTGATTTGTTTGTTTTAGTGTCCCTGAACATGATTTTTTTCCTTTTAAAAGGCAAAAAACCTAAAAAACTACACTTAGAAATACCCAGTTTTGAGTCTTACATGTCACAGTTTTTTACACTTAATTTGTAATAAAAAAATTTTAATTCTACAAATTAATTGTACAAATGTGTGTTCCTCACTCCTCCGTCAATCGCCACCTTACCGTGCCGATTGGTTTATGTGTCCCAATGATCGTGGAGGCTAAATTTCCCCCCAACAGAAGACTACATCACTCTTTGAAAAAACCGAAACCCAAACAGCCGTTAGTGATATTTCAGATGTGACAGCAGGAATTTTAAAGCCTCCTGAGGGACAAAAAAATTGAATTATAAAGCATTCAAATTATTGTCTTTCTTACAAACAGACTTCCCAAAAGTTGAATCAAGTCTATGTTAAACAACATCTTAAGCCTGGATTCTTTGTAATGACCAGCAGAGGGCGACACATTTGGTTGTAAAAAAAAAAAGTCTGGGTGTGTAGAAATCTGTATGAAAATGGCTATCTACCTCTCTTTATTCATGAGCTCAGGATTCACTGTCTTGATGAATTTATGAGCTTAGTTCCAAATCTTCTTTAATACAGTGTGACGTTCACTTTGGCTCCATCAGTATTAAAAAGGACAATAAAACAGGCGATGATTTAAGGTGAGGCTAACCTTTGATCCAGATCTATCACTTGCTTATGACATCAGGTTTCAGAACACCAAGACAATAACTGTCAAAACATTAAGTTCAACTTAAAAAAGTCTCGAAATAAAGCGTGACTTTGCGCACCAATGTGGCGTTATCCATGTTTTTTTATTAAGTTGGTCACCAGGCTCATTCTACATATAAGCATGATTGTTTTCAGTGTAAAAGAAATGTTCAAAGCAAAACCTGCAAGTTTTTTTGTTTGTTTTGTTTACAGATCCACAGGATGTAAAAAGACAGAAATTTTTGTTATTAACTCTTTTTATTATTTTTACTTGACTCGGGCTGCTTTCCCATCCCTTCCTCAACCCTGGATGTTTTTATTCTCGCTGTATGCATTCATGTCATAACTAATAAAACAGTCTATCAGACTCTGGAAGGTGACAGAGGCAAACAGGCGGTTTGTTTGGCAGCAGGCTCGACTCCCGGCTGAATATTCATCAGCACCACCTGCCCTCCTGCATGGTTTTTAACAGCAGCTTCAAAGCCACGGCCACAGTGTATGTTGGCTTCTTGTTCAGAGGACTTTATCCCTGGTTCGTCGGCCCTCACAGCGACCTCCGGTGGCCTGAACAGCTTTGAAGGCCTTCTACACGATGGTGCAGTCGTCCTTCGCTGGCTGTCTGCAGCTCCTCTAAACGAGGTCCTCTTCCATCCAGAGAGCCATCTATCAGGATGAAACAAATGAGTCATTACGGCAGCTTTCAGAGCGTCCCGGCAAGGCTAATTCTGCTCTTCTCCTGAAACGTGTGGGAGTTTTTAATATTGTGGAGAGGAGAAGAAGGTGTCATCCTGGGACCAGTTTGGCTTTTCATCAATCTGCCATTTCCTTTTCTTTCCTTTTTTGGGGGGGGTTGTTATTTTTCTCCCTCTCGCCTACACTGAGTGAGAAACAGCGATACAAAGACCCAGAACAAAGCGGTTTTTTTATTGTACTCCACTTAAAAAATCAGCTCTTGTTGTGCTGAAATCTCAAAGGAAACTTGGACTTGAGAGAGGTGGATGTTTTTCCAATAAAAGCTCTGGGAATATTATGAAATCTCTTTGTTATGCACGTCAAAGTTTTGCTCGTTTTTCAAAGTTAGAGCATATTTTGTAAAAGAAAAGGTTCTCATCAGCTAGTAACTTAAAAGAAACCAGATCTTGCTCCTTTAATAACAAAGTGATATCCTCTCAGTAAAGCAGGCAGACATGAAACTAAACCATTAGCTGCAAATGTAAATCATCAGTTTGTGAGCTAAAATAGCAGAAAACATTCCTGTGTTAATGCTACAAACAGACAAACTGAAAAATGTGTCGACATACACAACATATGCAAAATACATCTAGGCCACATTAGCTAATAACGCTGGCTGTTTAACCTTTTAGTAAATGTAAGTGACAGTTTATGAGCTGAAACAGTAATAAATAATCTTAAAAATAAAACTTAGAAAACCCTAAATAATAACTGGGTTTAGCTGGTTAAACAGTTTATCAAACACTGCTTTGGTTTATATTGGCTAAGTCGTTAGTTTTGGTCCATGTTAGCTAATAGTTTGGAGGCAAGTAAAAGTAAAAGCTTAGTTACTTAGCTTTTAAGTAAAGGCTTAGTTTTGATTTTTGTCAGCTAACTTCTTCACTTTTGTTTAGGTTACCTGAAAGAACATAATGGGGGTGTCCAAATTCATGGGCTGCATCCTCTTGAGGCCGCATTTGTTGGCCGATTGCATCACAGCGACGCGACGAAGGTTGTCCAAATTCGTAGACTCCTCCGAATGCAGCTGACAAATGTGTCCTCCTTTTCCCCGAATTAGAAGGAAGGGTCGGATGTATCCTTCGTGGGCTTCCATATCCCAGAATTCATAGTGTGGCCTAGCTGATTACAGTTTCCAACAATGGCTAAGTTTTTAATATTACTCTTATGACTCTTTCTGGGTCACAAAATAAACTTTTAACACATTTTCAGGCGAGAAAGTAGCTGTGTAAACATCAAATATCTGTTCGGTTTATCAAGATATCGCATATTTGCAAAAGTGCTCCGACATTTTCGGAGACGTCTGCTACCCACCAGCTGGATAGCTAGCCAGGGGCTCGAGGGTCACTAGAGCTGCCGAGAACGGCAAACTCTCGGCACATCATTTTCAGATCACCGTGGCCTTTCGCTATTCAGGTTAAACGTAATATATAAGTCACTTAGAGAACCTAAAAATGTTATTGTTTGGCTTTTTTCAGTGTTTTGTTTGTTCGTGAGTCAATCGGTTTGGCTGAGATTAAAGTTATTAGATTAGATTAGATAAAATAAAACTGTATTAATCCCCCGGGTGGGTTCCTCCTTGGTTTTCACACAGCTGAATAAACGTCTAACAGAAAACTAATTAAACAGAAGTGTGAGATGGTCGAGAATTTACGCCAGTGTCCTGTTATATTTTAGATAGCAAGGAGCAGACGGCCGAGTTTATTAAACTCCAACGAGACAGCGGTGACGCAAATCAGAAGGCTAGACCGTCCAATTCCACAGCTGTTTACTTCCAGCCTACCCGACCTTCTGAGGACCCGGCCCACGTAGACCGTGAAGGCCGGGTCCTCAGGAGGATGCAGCCCATGAATTTGGACACGACTAATCATTCCATTTCAGTTTACATTAGCTAACAGCAATGGTTTACAAATTGTAGTTTACAGAAGTTGTAGTTTCCCACAGTTTTATTGTATAATATCAATAAGGGCTATTTAATCTATTCTACATTAGCTAATGTTTTAATTTTTCTTAATTCTCGGTTTTGGTATATTCTAGAAAACAAATAATTTGTAGTTTACTTTAGCTAACCCTTTCTTTCTTTAGTTTTGTTAGCTAACCATTAATTTCTATTTACGGTTAGCAAAAAGCTTAGATTTGTTTTTTGTTGGTTAACTAGTCAGTTTTAATTTATGTTAACTAACTTCTTATAACTTTTATATAACCTAAAAGTTTGGTTTTTGTTTACATTAGCTAACTGCTAAGTTGAGGTTTATGTAAACAAGTGTTCTACTTTCAGATTTAGTTTATGTTGTTTTTTGTTTGGTAAATGCTTAGTTAATGTTTTTGTTAGTTAACTAGTTATTTTTTATTTATATTAGCTAACTGGTTTAGTAGAGGAGATTTTACACTTGTAATTTTGAGTCAGATCACAAAGGTCTGACCTGAACTTGTTAAAGGTCTCATGTTAATCTCAGCTGAAACACAGTCCACATGTCAGCTCCTCCATCTTCATTACCATAATGCCTCAGTTATCACTGTGGACCAACTAATGTTTAACAGTTTCCTTTGTATTTAAAAATGCATGAATTAAAAGAAATGTTTATAGCGTGATAGGGCGAATGTCCATGTTTAAGAAAACATGTCGACACAACTGGAGAACATCAGTAACATGAGGAGGAGGAGGAGACGCTTCACTTCACCTTCCTCTGTTTCCTCTCACCGAGAGAAGGATTATAGAGTCTTATAAAGAATGACTTCCATCTGGACGGAGATGTGTGCGTGTGTTTGTGTGTGTGTGTCTTTGTGTGTGTGCGTTTGGGGATTTCTTTCCCTCTAAAACATCTGGAGAAACAATCTGCTGTAAATAAGCAGCACCGATTCGCTGCCACCCGATAAATAAAAAGAGAAGAAGAAGAGGCAGCAGCCAGTTTGTGCTGAATCTACAAACACACACACACACACACACACACACACACACACACACACACAGGCATACATTGTTTTCCTCATGTGCTGACAGACATGATGGATACAGACCAACACACACACATGCAGTGCTGCTGTTAGT